AGTGCTGCAGAAACCAGAGGGAATCACCTCCTGGAGGTGTGGTCAGTGCAGGAATTGTGTGAGGCCAAGCTGGATGCCCATTCTAATCTTTTAGGGCACTGTCTGGGATTACAGGGCTGAATAATCCTTTCAAGGGGTTCTGTCACTCTGCCTCCTGCTAAATGGTGACAGCAGTTTCAGCTGGGGGGATCAGCTTGCTGGGGCAAAGAACCAACTGCAACAGGGGCTGTGGGGTCTGGCTTTAGTGGAGCACAAGGCTGGGCATTTCTTCATGGGGCTACCAGAAGCCTTGGAGGTGTTGAGGGTGAGTTGGTTCTTTCAGCCAAAGCAGAACTTCCCCAAAGTGTCTTTTCGTGGAAAATGGAGCACAGAGAGCAGTGATGCTCTGATGGTGGGGATGCTTTTTGGCTGCTCTAGGAGTGGGGGGAGCTGGGTGTGCAGACTCCTGATCCTTCCAGTCAGTTTCCACAAGTTTCTGCTTGTCAACACCCCCTTTTCCAAAGTTATTTCTCTTCCTGTCTGTTGCTGAGGGCTCTTGGATGCAAACACACTGCATTAGTTCTCACCTGCCATAGGAAGCAGCAGTGCTGTAATAACTGAGGGGGCTTCACTGCTCAGAGCTGTGCTCAGCTGGGCTGGGACTGGGTCAGGCCCAACTCCTGCCATGGCTGCACAGTCACTGGGAGCTCTGGGGGGACTGCAGGGACACCTTCCTGCCTTGGTGACCACAGGGCACTGGTGATGGCACAATATCAGCCAGACATCCCCCTGATGCACTTCCTTCCCCTGACACTGGCCAAGGGCCTGGTCCCAGCACATCACTGCCAAACCAAGCACCCCAAACCCTCCCACTCCTACTGAGAGCAGGGGATGGAGGCAGAGCCAGGGAGCAAGAAGGAAATGCCTGGGAAATTCTCTGTTGCTCTGTCGTGCTGCAGCCTCCAGCCTGCTCTGTCTGGGTGTTTGTCAGGATATGTGTGACACCCTGGGCTGTGAGGGGACAGGGATGTGCCTGCTGATCCTGACCAAAGTTGCTGCAGCTTCCCTTTTCCTCTGCCTCTGCATTATTAGAATTATGCCAGAGATGCGCAAAGATCTTTGAGAGGTGAATTGTAATCGATGCAAGGCAAAATTTGCACTTGGAGTGGTATAAATAGTGCATAAATATCCTTCTTGCTGTCTGCACTGAGGTGAGTCTTGTCTTCAGAGCTTCCACTGTTTTTATTGCCTTTTCCCCCTCTCTTCACAATACTGAATTGACTGACTTTATCTTGGCACTTTCTGTGTCTTGCCAAAAGAACAAACTCAAAATAGCTTTCCAGGGTGCATTTTGGATGGTTTTTTTCCTGTGCCACTGAAAGAAGAGATGGTTGTTCCAAAGAATGCAATTTATTTTACCCACTTTCATCCTGAGTTTATACATGGGCCATTAGCTGCCAGCTGAGTGGTAAATGGTGGAGGTAATGCCTACATCTTGGATCCACTTGCTCCAAAAGCTTTTCCCTTCTCCCTAGCTGTGGTTATGAGCTAGCAAAACTCACTTAAACCTTTTCCACCAGCAGAATTAACTTCCATTAATGTTATGAGTGCTTCAGGCAAAAGAGCATTAGTCTGTTACACCTCCTCTGAGAGGCCTCCTCTGCGGGGTTGAACAGGTTGAATGACAAAGCAGCCATTTAAAAACCTGTCTGAAGATCCTTCACCAAGAAGGGGGAGTTTTGTAGCTAAGTTGTTTGGGAAGTGGAAAGTCTCAGTGCAATTCCCAGACCTTCAGGAGTCTTTTGGCATCAATCTGGAACCTGCAATCTCTGGTTTTTCTGACCCACATCTTTTTTTGTAGCACCTTTTTCCTCTGGAAAAGGCTACTGGTGAGTGGCCACGGTGGTGGAAAATGGAGTTCTTAATCTCCCTGAACTCGGATGGTTTGGGTATGAAAAGGGAGGTAACATCTCTCCCTTCTTGTGCCTTCCCTACCCTTATTTAAAGTGAGAGACCTGACTTCAAACATGAGCATAAAGTGCAGCACAAATATGAAATGTAAAAAATGAAAATTTTTACATAAAAAATTGAAAGATTTTCAGCGTCTTGTAATCTCTTGTCCATGTAATTTCAAGTTAACTGGTGTTGGTGCAGTGACTGCAATCTCATCCTGCACCTTTATAGGTTTCTGTGCAGGTCTCAGTGAATTTCTGCATAGTTACAGGATCCTCAGGAGCAGGCAGAACCTACTTTACTTAGTAATGGAGTAGGTTGTGAACAGGTCTGTTGTTGAAGCATTTATTGTTTTTCAACTTAAGTTATGGTTTCATATAAATAATATATGTAGCTAGTCAATGCTTGGGAAATGCATTCTTTTCCTTGTGAAATATTTATGGACTTCAGTGCCTACTAAGTACCCAGTCAATTTTGAGAATACAGCTCTAGTGAGAAGGCTTGGTTGCCTTTAAAGTCTTGGCCAGGGTGGGACAGACCTGTTAGCTGAGAGATGCTGGAAATCTGATTTTTTATCTACTGATTTGCCCCCCTCCTTCCCCCTCTCTGTGTAGGGTCTGTCCATGCCCCCTCAGATTTGAAAATGGAATTAATATTGGTGGAATTTTTGTACTGACAGAAAATACAATGGAATCCTCTACATCAGTAGGGAACATGTATGGTATGACCTGGTAAAAAACATAATTCACACTGAAATAGAAATCTGCTGGGATTTTCCCCTGTCAATCAAATAATAAAAATTATTGGAATATTTTCTATAACAAATTATAAGCTCCAAAATGCTGTCACTATTCACATGTGGTGCTATTTTTCCCAGTGCAGAATTCCCATATGTGGCTTCTGCATTTCTCACATCTTCTGAGGGAAAATGAGAATTACCCCAGATATGGATTTACTGGTGGGATTGTCCAGAGTGATTTGGGATCATCTGAGATTCCCTGGGAGCTCTCCAGCCTGGGGAGAGGCATTCCCATGGAATGACTGGTGATTTAAGACAAAGAAATAACATGCTCAGCCTTTACCTCAGGTAATAATTCAGCCTCCTGATTCACTGTTGGGAATTGTCACCTTTTTGTCACAGGGCTCTTAGACTGGAGGACAAAACTTTGGAATACATGAGACTTCAAACAAGTGGACATCTGAATTTTATTTAGTTTTTTTTTTATCATGAAATCAGCACATTAGCACTTGAAACAGGCACCTGGGGTGTAGTGGTGGGTGGGGACTTTGAAGGACAGGAGCAGAGATGGTTGAAAATCTGCCACGATGGAATTCAGTCCTGAAAAATCCACCCTGAACCCAACAACTTGCAAATCTGTTTGAACTGATTCGAGTCATCTGAACCATTTAAATAAAATTAATTTTTTTTTTTTTATTGTCCAGCTCTGATTCCTGCAGGCTGGAGCAGCCAGCGCTGCCACAGACCAATGGCAAGCTGCTTTTGCAACACTTACTGCAGTTTCCTGCTCTGGTGGCCTGTGAATGGGTGATTTTTATTTTTGCTTAATAAACAGCCCTCACGTATCTGTCTGAAAACCACACCACTAAAGCCTTAACTCAGCAATCTAAAATGACGTATTTTTCCCCCTTACCTACATGTCAAATCATAAACATCAGCCTCAGTAATAAATATTTCTATTTTATATGTATATTTTTATGCCTTTATCCCAATTGGATTTTCAAGGCTAAGGGCTTCAATGTGAGATCCTTGCTGCTTGTTTAACAAACAAATAGTGAAAAATACGGTATGCTGATGTGGAGATTATTATACATAAATCATTGAAAAATGCTCTTTTTGAGAGGAGAGAATCACAAAAAGAGTCATTGACCTGAATAAAAGAAGCTCAGCTGTACTCCAGAGAATTTGCCATTTTCGATACATGTTAGTGCTTGCTAACAATTGTAATTTATTAATCCTGTTCTCTCTTCTTTTCCTCCATACTTGCACATTTGAATTTTACTGTAAGCAAGAATTGTATTTATTTTCTAAGAGTGCAAATTGATCTTGTGGTCACTGATAAACACTAAAAGCTACTTGATAGTCAAGATAATCTCTCAAAAGGCCCATAACCAAAGTAGGTAGAAAAGACCTCCTCACTAGATCATTCAATTTTAATATTTCCAAGAGAAAAAGCAGTATTTGCATCCTGAAACAGAGCCAAGGACATTCTGCCTGATTTGCAGGTCATAACTCTGCTCATGGTCTGTTTGGAAACAGAAGCTCCCTGCTTGTGCAAATTGATGGAGCTCTGCTGCCCCAAATGAAATACAGCCAGGATGCAGAGCAGGGAGAAATCTTTTTCATAATATCTGCAAAACCAGGAAGTCTGTTTTGCTATTTAAATGGGAGCTGAGCCCTTGGAAATTGTTTTTCTCATGCAGAGAAACCAGAAACAGTTTAGAGAGTCCAGGTACCTTATTTTTACTTCCATATCTAATGTACCTGTAATGCAGAGCTGTTGTGCAGGAACTATCAGGAACTTCTTTGGCATCCCAAAGCTCCCAACTCATGAATTCATATCCATGTACAGGATGTAAAAAATATATATATATCTAGGTATAGATAGATAGATAGATAGATAGATAGATAGATAGATAGATAGATAGAGGCACCTTCACAAGCCTATCTACACCAGCAGATTTAATTGTCTTTCTCTTCATGTCACTGTTTTACACATTTTGGAGTATTTTGTACAACCAGAACTGAATTCTGCAAAGGACAGGACAGGAATTAAAGAGTCCAGTGTGAGGTAATCTCACCTCAGTAAATATCCAGTTCTGATATGTAAGCACCAGACGTGTGTGGGAAATAAAAGTTTTCTCTCTCCCAACACTTCTTCCAGGTACCTGTAGAATTGTCTTTGAATTCAGCTGCAAGCTCAGCACCATGTTTTGTTTTATTTAACAAATGTTGACTTTTTTTTTGTTTAAATAAGAGTTTTCATCCTTTTTCTTTTTCTTTCTTTGACAACTTACTCAGAATTTGTCTGAGGAGTTTTTTTTTTTTGATGTCTTCCTTGAGTATGTTGTAAATTTACTAACAGAAGGAACTGAGTATTTATCTGCCCATTAGCTCTTGGGATTCCCCCTCATTTGCAGCCACTCTCTCTGAAGGTGGGCTCAGATCTGCCTGCCACTCCACTCAGGTTTTAAATCTTACTCAGGTTCAGTAAGTGCTGTGCAAAGTTTAGTTCTTTAGTCTGGAAATTATTTTCCCCCTATTATGTGGTTAAGATGAGGTCCTTGCTTGCTAGAGCACCAATCTCCCCCCACTGCTCCTCTTCAGTGCCTGTAAAAAGAATTGAGGAGAAAAGAGATGAAATAAACCAGCATGCAAAGAGAAATATCCAGGAAATATGTGGTATATTTCTGTCATATATTTTAGTAAAGTCTTAATGTGGACACAAGAGTATCTGTCTTTGTAGATAAATTTCTGTATTCTTAGCATTTATTGAATCAGCAATGTCCCCATCCATTATGTAACAGGAGCAGCTGGTCAGCCTTTCATGTGATGTACAGTTTCCTTTCCTCCTCATAGTAATGACAGAAAAATGCCATTATTCTTCAGCACCTCTCAGCTAATACTCTTTCAAATTGCCATCCTTATTTCTATGTAAATGTAGACCCTAATTTAGAAGAATTAGCTTTGAGTAAAACATTATTTTATACTGGTAGGGTTGGGAAAGAGCTTCTTTCCAAAAGGGAACTTGAACAGGTTAAAGAAACTTTTGTCAGCATCATCCCTCCTGTGTGTCTGAGCAGTTTTGGAAAGAGAGATCTAACTATTGGAAAATGGGACACTAAAATTTGAAATTGGTGAAATTAAAATTTTGATATTGGTGATTTGAAGCCTTTCTTGCTGAGATCTCCCTGATTTTCCCTCACCTGGTGCATCCCACAGAGGTTTGCAGTTCCTCACCCACAGTGAGGAGCAGCTGAAGGGAGTTCTGTTCTCCAGCAGCAAAGGGATCATCTGCTCCCAGCTCTGCAAGGACCCCGCACAATTCCTGCCAGTTTTTCTCCAGGATTAGGAACAAAAAAAATCAACAAACAGCAATGTACAAAAGGCAGAGCAGCAGCTCAGGGGCCTTTCCGATGTGGGCTCCTGCTTCTCTAAATGATGTTTTACTGTAAAGAACACACATTTTATTTTCTATTAAACAAGCAAACAAACTCAATGACACTTTTTGGGAAAATATTGAAGCATGGGGTTTGATTCACAGCCTGGTAAGGTAAGAGAAAATGCTTCTCATTCTATGTGTATTATTTTGGTTTTTTATTTTTTAGATTTGGTGTCAGTAGCAGCGTCAAAGTGGGGCACATGTTAAATGTCTGGTATCAGACCAAGGACTCTTTTCTAAAATGCTGAATAAAGCTGGCTAGAAAGCAAAACATGTTTTAGGGAAAATGGGGATGTTTTAGAGTTTTTGTCTCATCAAAATGAAAATAAGAAGGAAGGAAGAGCAAGTGAGCAAACAGGTTCAGCTCCCAGCATGCCAAAGCCTGGGGATATTTCTATAGGATGTAGAGACCAGAGTTCATGATCTAAAACACCTCCTTGAGTGGGATCAATCTGTTGAGCACAATTGATCTTGTTGGGTTGGTCCTGAGTTCATGAAAATCCCATTTCTTGGGACAGAGGAGAGAAGATGACCCCAAGGTTGGGATATTTGCAGTGGCTGTGGGAAGACTGTGTCAAATCCTTGCTCTGCTTTATTTGGAGCTAACTCAACCTTTCCTGTATCACATGGTGAAAATCCACAGCACCAGGGAACGTGCCGACCACTGGCCATGCTGGGATCCTTTCCCAATCAGCTTTTGTCCATCAGTCTCAAGCTGAGCAGGAAAGATTCTTCACAGAAAGCTTTTTGTGAAAATGATGTGTTTCCTGCAAAATGTTTCAGTTCTGAGAAATCAGGATTTTCTTTCCCCCTGCCCCCCAAAAGAATGGAAAAAACCTAAACCCCTTTAGTTGGAAAATGCCTGACAAACACCAACACTGAGCTCTGATGAGGTCAATTGCCCACTTGCCTCCTTCCAGCATTTGTGTCTTTTTATTTCAAAACAGCTTGAGAGCTGCTCTTCTGGCAGGAAATTGCAAAAAAGCCAAGGCTGCATTTAAATTCAGCTGCAGCTTGCACTGAGGGCAGTTTTGAAATAATCTTTATATAGAAGATGTTGTCTCAACTACCTATTGAACATATTGAACCTCCCCCATGCCTAATCTCCCTGCTTTGCACAAAACATAAAATTTATCTCATAAACACCAGAACCTGAACCTAAGAAAGAGGCCTGGAAAAAGCAGCTTTAGCGATAGAAGCAGTAAGTCCATCCCAGAGGGACTTTCACTGTCACATGATGGCTAACTGGGAATGTGTATACTGAGAAGGGAGGGAAAAACTGATAAGGGGGTCAGAGAGGTTGAAAACACAGATTTTATTGGCATTAGGAATGTGACCACTTTAAGCAGTATGTCCAGGGATCAACTTTCCTAGACAGCAGATTACTGCTTGTATTCCTACCTCAGCTGTTGGTCTCTTGAAGGGTTCTCAGATAAATAACTTTCCCCTTTGTGCTCCAGCTTCCCTCACTCTGAAGTGCTGTCAGTGATGTTTGTTGCCTTTGTAAAGCACTTTGAGTTCCATGGGCAAAAGGGAGGTATTAGAGCTGCTGTTAGCTCCAAAAGGGAAAAAGCTGTAAAACTGAGGTCTGAAGTCAACCTTATTTTTCTGTGTCTTTTTCCTCTTAGTAACATTTTATCTTTAGGGAAGAAACTGCTGATTGCAAACTGGAGAACTTACAAGTGGCCAACAGCTTTGACTTCTGAGTCAAGAGTGAAACTTTGCTGTGGCTGAGGTGTGTGCAGGTGGATGGAAAATCATTGCAGGGCACACAGGGTGACAATTCTCTGGGTGTCCCACTGGAAATCTGGGTCAGGGGCAAGCCAGGGAGGCTGAGCTCAGAGTCAGATGTTCAGATCCCTCACCAAAACTGTGGCTGGTCACAGGATTTCTGGGATCCATCTCCTCTCTGCGTACTCCAGATCCCCAGCCCTGGGCACGTGCTCACCCTGCTCCCTCCTTCAGGTTATTACAGTTTGTGCCATGGTCAGAGCACTCAGCCCATCCTCAGAAGCTTCTCTGTGCACAGCCAGGGCAGGCACAAACAAGAAATGTGCTTTGTTCATGAGCAAAACCAGACAAACAAAAATAAGGTGCATTAAATAGAAATCACACAATATATAAAAAGTCCTCCACATTTTTGCCATTTCCTCTACACAAATTATTGCATTTAGGTCACAATCAAAAAAAAAAAAATCATGCATTGGAGCCCTTATTACTATTGCCATGGGCCTCAAGCAATCAATACTACAGCCAAAGCAGCTGCATTTGGAGACTTTGTTCTGCCATTTGATTCCTAAACAGATTTTTCATGACCAAATTAGAGAATGAAACAAACAACTATTCAAGAAGGCTTGTTATTGAATGAGGTTCTATAATCCAGTGCCACAGCTTATGGTCCATATGGAGGCCCAGCTGAGAAATCCAGCACTGCTTGATCAGCAAAGCTACAAATATTTACAGAGAACAGAAGTCAAATGGGAAGGACTGTCTGATCCAAGCTAAGCATGTGTGTAACTGCCCAAAGCATGAAAACAACAGGTTTTTCTCAATTTTTCTTGCTGTATGGGTGGTCCCCAGTGTTATCCATAAATAATCTTTTTTTTTTTTTAAACTTTGTACAGGATAAAGAGGATAATAACCGTACCAGCTTCACCAGCCCGTGGAGAGAACAGCTGAAGAGAGCATGTGAAATTGCTGTGATGAATAGCAGAAGAGGGGAAGGCTTCTGGCAGTGAGGGAGATCTAAGCAGCACATCAGGCCAGGAAGCAAACTGAGAAAACTTTTTTGGCTAGGATTGAATTAGGAGTGGTGGATGGTGTTAAAGAACTGAAAGCCAACAGGTTCTCTGTGCAAAAGAAAACCAAAGAAAAATGAATGCATCAAAATATGTGACTTAAATCTTGTCTAAATTAAGGAAGAAACACTAAAGTGCTGTTCTGAAGAAAGAGCTTGAACTCATTTAAACCTTGTCTAAATTAAGGAAGAAACACTTAAGTGCTGTTCCAAAGAAAGTGCTTGAACTGAATCAGAGAAAAGAGATTCTAAAACAGTAACAGAGAACCTTCCTCCTCTTTAGAGACAGTGAAAGAGAAAATAGCATGTGCCTTTCTATTAAAAACATGCCTTTCCAAGGAGAAAAGGCTTGAAACCTGAATACTTCAAAGATATTAACCCCAGTGCTCTAGATAACTCTTACAGGGATGGGCAATGATGGTGGCATCAGAACACTTGACCTGGAAGCCTCTGTTCCAGAGGCAAGACCAAGCTGTTCTGTCTAAGACACAGAGCACATTGCTGATGTAAAGATGGGTTATTTGCAAACCACACCTGCAGCACCCCAGCCTCCCCAGTGCCTCCAGGAACTGCTGAAGATCCAGGCAGCTCAGCCCAAGGAGGCCCAAGCTGATTGACCCCTTCAGCTGCAGATGCCTCTGGACTCTTGGCAGGACTTACCAAGCTGTAATCTGCCCCTGGCCACACACCACACTCACCTTGTGAAGGCCTCAGGCTGGTTGGAATCCCTGCTACCAGCAGCAATCCAAATGTTAAAGATCAGCACATTGGATAAATATTAACAGAGTTCCAGGCCAACAGCTCAGCAGTGAAATGCTGCCATGTGCTGAGATTTTTTTTCCTGATCTATGGCTGTCAGTGGTGTGAGCTTGTGTCAGCAGCCTCTTCTCCATTTCACTAATGACAGCTGTAAAACTCCTCTATCAACAAGCTGGCTTAAGCCATGACATGAGTGTCTTTGCTGTCTCTGTGCACTTTGCAATCTCTTCCTCCTGCTCAGAGAGGTCTAGAAGCTCACGTACATCATGGTGGGACACAGACTCCACAGCTGCCTTAGAGATGAACTAAACTATCACAGTTGAGACAGCCACAACACACAGAGGGCCATCACACCATTTTGGAAAGCTTCAAGCATTCACCCAAACAGAGTAACACCACACCTCATCAGAAGGCTTCAAGCATCTGCCCAGACAGAGTAACATCAACCCACCTCAAAAGGCTGCAGGCATCTGTCTTTCCTGTTCTCAGCCCTTTTTTACACCCCTCATGTTCATGCAATGCACCTGTGTGCCCTCTGTTCCCTTTGGTGGTTGCTCAGTGCACCTGGGCACTCCATGGCTCATTGCTTTCAATGAGCTGCTCACCTGCTTTTCACAGCTGGAGCTCATTGGGGATGAGGCTCAGGCACAGCCCCAGCCCAATCACCCCAAACTGTGTGCCCACAATGAACAGATGTCAGGAAAAAAATGGTAAAAAAGCATTTTCCATCAGAGGCACTAAAAAAGTGCAGGAGAGTTTTCCTCAGGCTGTTCAACAGCAATCAGTATAATGTTGTTTGGGTCATTCTTCTACTGAGGTTTCCTCAGGCAATAACATGGAAAGTTACTTTCCCATTAGAATATTGATGGAGCTCCTGTAGGTGACAGTGTGGCCAATCCTGGACTGGAATTTCAATATATTGGATCTTCTCTGAGAGAGGCCTGGAACTTCTGGGTAAGTACACTAGCAGAAGAGGTATCTGTACACCATACACAGAAAGTATTATGTGTTTCAGAATACACTTGATTTTTAAGTAGTTCTTGAACTCCCAAGTGCTCAAATCACTTCTGAAAGTAAAATAGTGACTCTTGAGTCAGAAGCTTTTGAAAGTATTATCCTCTGTGTTTTCCAGTTATGTTCCTCTTCAAGCACTTAAGTGATTTTTAAAGACACTGATCACCCACAGGTTGTGTTGCTGCTCCTGACAGTTGTGAGCAGTCAGCTCCTCTGGAGAAGTTGAGAAATTTGGTGCCTCAGTTCATTTGCCTGGATTTTAAAACTGTGGCCTCTGCTTTTATTGACTTTTGAGACAGGTGAAGTTGATAAAGTGAACAATATAAAAAGTGCAGCAGAGCATTAAAAAGCAGGAAAGATGATGAGAAGAGATTGTGGCCAAGATTAAAAGACAGGATTTCATTGGGATGTTTTCCTTATGCCAAGACTTCCTTTTTATTGCCTTTTTTTTTTCCCTTCATGTGGAGCTGCACTGAAAAAGCTGCATCCTGACTCTCCCACACCCCTGTATTTTATCATAGTCAGTGATGCAGATCCCTCTAAAAAGCACCTTAAATATTTTTGTGGTTAAATGTCACCTGGCTTGGGGGAAGCAGAAGCCTCACACACAGGGCTCATAGGAATGAATCATTTTATAACTCACAATCTCTGCAGCTCCCCCTCGTCTGGCCTTATTCTCAACCTGAACTCAGCCAGGGTCTGTCCCTGCAGTCACTTGGACAAGTCCCTGAAGTCCCCTGGGCTGGAGGGTTGGTGCCACACCACACTGCTCTGGTGTCCAGTTCTGCTCTGGTCAGTGTCTTCGGCTGCAGCTCCTGCTCAGGCTCCTCTGAGGCTCTGTGGGTTTCAGATTTGATTTTGGAGGTTTGGACAATCCTCCTGCTTGGCTCTCCCAAGTCACACAGGGTCAGACCTGGTTAGTTGTTGGATGGAGTGGCCTCCAAGGAAAACACCTGCAGGAGGTGTGATGGTGACTCCAGAGGTGGCTCAGTTCCCTCACTCAGGGTTGAACTGGTCTCTCCAGGGCCAGAAAGTGCAGAACTGGCAGAGATGGCAACTTCCAAAGGTCAGGGCAGGATGGAAAACCAATGCCTGTTTGTTTTCTTTGCAAGGGCATGAGGAAAGTTCCTGCCCTAGAAACAAGGCGCCTCTGATGTGATTAAAGAAGTCAACAAAACTCTGCTTCTTAAAACTGGGAAATCACTCTTTGGAAAGATTACACCTATGGGATTCCAGCAGGTCAGAAAACATCTCTAGACTACAGATTCTTAATTTCTCTCCTGTATTCTGACCATGCAGTCACATTCCCTGCCCACAGGATCAGTCTGTGCAGTGCAAAAAATACTAAAAATGCTTCTACCTGCCTTCCTCACACTGCTTATCTAGGAACTGTTCTGCACTCTGTGGAATGAAGAGAACAACAGCTGAAAGGTTTTTTTCCCAACCAGGATTGAAGCAATTTCTTCCTGTTCATGGCCAATTGTTTCAAGTGTCACTTAGAAGAGGTGTAGGAGCAATCAGGTCCATTGGAGACCTGATACAATCTGTGGCTTGTCTTAGATTGTCACATACCTGGTGAACTTGGAATGAAATCCTGATTCTTGTTTTATCAAAATCAGTTTGCTCTTTCCTCATTTTTGGTCAAACTTTCTTTTTGCTTAGCACTTTTTCTAAGTGCCCAAATAGCAGTGGATGAAAGTCTTGTAACATAAATCTTTCAACCTCTTTGGACACTTTCCTATGTATTACACCTGGCTCAAAACTTCAGCTCTTTAAATGAGAAAAGATGCTGTGGTTCCTCCCACTAAAAGTGGTCATTGATCTCACTAACATCAGATTTACTCCTGTGAAATACCTTTCTCAAATCAGCATGTTGTTGCAATAACGTGTCCTAAGGTGAAATCTGCTTCTAAAGTAAATCTTTTTCTTCATGAAGGAGAACTTTTTGCTGATATTCCTCACTTGCACAGTCTACTGATCACTAATTTATTGCATCTTTCTGTGGGACAGGGCTGAATGCAGGCTGGATTATAAGGTATTGAGTCACTGTTCATTACTGATTTATTGAAGCCTGTAATGGGAACAGAATGAAACAGTGCTAAGCCTGTTTGAAACTAAAGCCAAATGAATGTAAAGCATACGCTCAGTGTAAGTGCCTCTTTAAATGTTGTCCTAACAGAAGGATGGATTTCACATCCTTAAGGATTTTGCCTTAAATCATAGGGGTCAAAATTCAGGGTTTGTTTCAATGAATCAGTCAGGGCAGTAGAAATGAGCTATTTCTGATCTCCCACTGATGGCACTGCCACTGCAGACAGGCACTTGGTGCTCCATCTCATCTGCTGCTCCTCTTGGTTAGTGCTGCAGTTCTTCATGGGCATTTTTGCCAGTTGGAGCTGGAATTGCCACTTCCTATTTGAGAGGAGAAGGGGAGAGTAAGTACAATTTCTAGATTTTTTGTGGATTTAGGCATCTTCATGACAGCTTTACTGAGCTTGCTCATATTATGCTCTCCCTGGCATTTCCTCCTTTTGAAGTCATTAAAGCCAATTTCATATTTATAAATAAAGTGTCCTAATGCATCTAATATATGATGAGGTCTGGCTGCTGCCTGATTTTCTTTTTAATGTTTACACCAGGTGCCTCTTGCTTTCAAGGAACCAAGCAATGAATAAATTTAACAGATATTTCTTTTAATTAGCCCCCAAAGAGCTAGCAATGAAAAACACTATCAGAAACATTCTAGTGCTTTAGAAAATATAAGACTTCTTCACAAAGCCTCTACACAGAATTACAGAACAGCAATAAAATCATCACTTGCATGCAGAAATAGATTGTTTACACAGGGATCTCTTATGAACTGGCATTTATTATGATTAACTTCTAATCACACAAATGTTTCCACACATGCATCTGAGCAGAGCCACTGAAATCAGTGGGACAGCTCTGCTGCCTGACATTAGGAACAGGCATTAAAGTTTGTGGGATTAGATCTCCATTTGTGTGTGTCTCTAAGAGCTTTGTCTTTTCTCAGAAGGGGGAAGGAAAATTTATATTCCAGATTGGTGTAATTACTGTAGGACATACAATATTGGCAAACTAGATTCTCTGAATATCTGCAACATTTCAAAGAAGTTTAAGATAGAGGCTAAAGGCTGACAGTTTCTTATTCTGACTTACATTCTGCCCCCTCTGCTTTTGATTCTGCATTCAGAGCTGCCACAAGAATGTCAGCACTGCAATAAATATGCATTTATGTAGCACCTTTATTTTGAAGTTTTCTAAACACTTTACAGACAGCCCTTTATATTCACAGATCTCAAAGTATTTTAGAAATCTCTGTTAGTATTGTTTTCTTCCTTTTACTGAGGGAGCAATGGGTGTGTTTCCAGGGGAGCAACTGATTCAGGAGCCAGTGCTTCCAAATTAGCTAAATTAGAGTTCTCTTATGAAAATTTTCTCCAAAAGGTCTCGAGTGGCTCTGAGGGAAAACATGAAGTTTTTATTTCTATCTTTCAGTGTGCTGGTATAGGCAGGATTACACAGGGCTAATAAACCTCATGTGTAACAAGTGTCAGCCCAGAAAATTCCTATCAGCCAGACACACAGTAATTGTGTCTGCCCTATGGTTGAAATATTGGGAAGAAAATCCAAGAATCCTGGCTCCAAAGTTGTTTGTTGTAGGTAGATCATGGGGTTGAGGGATGTGGTGATTCTGCACTGACAGTCCCACAGGTCAGTGTTATACGTGGCTTTGGGGGAGACTGAATTTACATCCTGCAGTCTGTTTTTTGTGTCTGGTTTATCTGGGTTGCAGCTGAATTGTCCCCAGATGTCCAGATCATACAGCCAGCTGTGTGCCACCCAAAATATCCTTAAAACCAGGAGCCCTGGGCAGGGGAGAGCAAGGACCTGCACATGGATCTGCAGGAAGCAGCCTTTGGTTCTGCACCTTTGCTCTGCTCTCAGGTGGCACATCCCAGCATCCACAGTCCTTCTTTAAGGAGTCACAATCCCCAGATAAGGACTGTAAAGATCATCCCATTGTATTGATCCCATCCCTGAAACAGCCAGCTGAGGAAAAATCCTCCCTTTTCTCCCCCAGCCACATGGAAATTCCTTCATTAGAGACCACTATAAAGCTATAGAAATATCCTCTTCCAGCAACATACTCCCCGTAATGTTGTTATGGGAAGTGCCTTAAAAGTGGCAATCAATTCTTCTTTGAAGTCATTGACCAAAAACGAGTGCAGGAGTCATGAGAGGGCTGGAAATAGGAGAAGATTTAAAGTGCATCTCTCACATGTGCTCCAGCAGAGAGGAGGAAGGAGATCCAATTGCTTTCTTACCCTTGGAATTTCTCTGTTGGTTTTAATAGTCTGATACCCTAATGACAAACTCCACACACACTCTGGGGTATGTTCTCAGCTAAATCCATGGGGATACAAGTCTGTAATA